TCCAATGCCGCGAATTGCGCCCAGTAACTCAACTCGATTAAACTTGGACTTGTGTATTATTTTCAACTGATAAAAAAAAACTAATCCCCCAATCGCGTCGGATCACGTACAAGATTTCAAATTCGAGATATAATTTAACACGGTCAATACCAAGTGACCAAGTCCAAATAATCAAGAGAAGAGAAGAAGAGCACCGGAACATGGGAAGATGAAGGAGAAAATGTAGAAAACGACGAGCTGACGAATGAAGTACCCCGTGCGCGCAGAAGTTGGCGGCATAGCCACGTAGTAGCAGAGTCAACGACCATCTGGTCGTTTTCGAAGAATCATTCAACTGAACTGGGCCAGAATTTAAAAATACGGATGCATACGTTGCTTGAGACGTGCAAAGATAGGGATGCAATAAAGATTGGATTGGATGGGGGAGGAGGAAGATCCAAGTTGCCAAGTTTTGCTCCCACCAACTCCAATCGAAGTCAATAATAAAATAAAACGATGTCTACGTTTGGTGAAGTTGAAGGGGAAAATTTTTTTTATTTGAGTGGAGACTTGGGAGCAGTCCTCATTTCCAAGCATAATGTTCAATGCGATGTGATGAGCAGAAACTTTATAATGGACAATCGTGAAGCCAATAAGAACATATTGAATGAAGGAACCATGGTATAGATAGGTAAATTGAATGTATTTGCGGCTCTAATTCCCGTCTTTGATATAGATGAGATTGAATTTTTGGTTGCTTGTGAGCTTTTTCGCACCCAAGACGGTTCTACTGCTCCGTAGAAAAAAAAACGGATCTTATTTCGTGCTAGTAGGTTTCATTAAGATTTTATTAGCATCAGATTATCAGTAACTTATGGATCACTTAACGAAACTTTTACCAGATTGCTAACACTTTTTGAGAGATTAAAATTCTCGATTTTTCTCATTTTTTTACTAACTTTTGTTTGTCTTTCTCACCAACATCTTAAATTTATCAACTCTTATATGAATTTACCAATCTACATTTCATCAACTTATCAAATTTTTTTAATTAAATTACCAAATTAGTTTTGGGTTATTAATTCTCGTTTGAGTTAATTACCAATATGCATTAAAATATTTTTATTTAATTTACCAATTTTTGTTATCATTTATCAACTTTTCTTTTTTACAAACGTCTTAAGTTTATCAACTCTCATATGAATTTATAATTTTCGTTTGTGTAACTTACCAGTTTGTCTTCCAATAGGTTACTAACTAGTTTTGGGTTAACAAATCTTGTCTCAGTTACCTAGCAACTTTTATTTGTTTTAGTTTAATTTACCAACTTTTTGTCTTGCTTACGAATTAGTTTAATTTACCCACTCTTTTGAGCAATCATGAACCTATTTAGAGTAATAACCTACTTTTACTTGATTAAGATATCAATACGTTTTGTGTTGAGTTAGTTACGGACGTTTATGAATTTATTTATAAATTGCCAACTTATATTACCTCTAATAAAAAAAACTTCTCTTATATTTTAGAAAATTTTATTTGCATTTCTTACCGGCATCTTAAATTTGCCAACCATTATATGAAATTATTAACCTTTTTAAAGTGACTTAACACTTTCCTCCAACAAAGTAACCAACAACTTTTTGTTACAAACTTTCATTTGAATTGCATATTACTAACATTTATTTATTCTTTTAATTTATCAACTTTTCTATGAATTACCACTTTTATTTATCTCACCACCAACTCTTTTTATAATCACAAATCTCAATTAAAGTGATTATCAACTTTTCACAAACTAACTAATAATGCGTTACCAATTCTTGTTTGAGTTAGTTACTAATGTTTATTTGGTGTATTCTTCTTTAAATACCAACTTCTCTAATCTTTGACAAAAAGCTTCCCTCATCCTCTACCAATTTTTACTTACCTTTCTATCCAGCAACTTAAATTTACCAACTATAAGTAATTTCTCGACCTTTATTTGTGTGACTTACTTTTCTTATATAGTTAACTAGCTTTAGGTCATCAATTGAGTTGCTTATTAGTATTTATTTGTTGTTATTATCTTCACCAACTTTTCTATCGAGTCATCACTATTATTTGTTCTGCTAACCAACTTTTTTGCCAACTCGTTTTAAAAATTACCAGGTTCAATTAGAGTGATTGCCGAATTTTCTCAGATTAATTTACTAATTAGTTTTATATTACCAACACTTATTTCAGTTATTTACCAATATTTATTTGGATTTTTTTTGTTAGTAAATTACCAACCTTTCCTATATCTGACAACTGAAAAGCTTCTTCCGTTGTTTACCACTTTTATTTACCTTTATTAGCAACACCTTATGTTTACTCTCTATTATATAAAAAAACCAATTTTTTGTGTGACTTACCAACTTTTCTCTAATTAAGTTACTACATTTACTTTCCAATTTTTATATCATTTTAAATTACCATTTTTATTTGCTTTACTTATTAATCATTTTACACAATTATATGACTAGTTAATTTAGCACTATTAACTCTTATTTGAGTTAATTACCAACGCTAATTTCATTAAATTACCAATTTCTCTTATTTCTGACCAAAAAATGCTTATCTTATTATTTAACAACTTTTCTTTAACTTTCTTCATAACATCATAAATTGACCAACTATTATATGAAATTACTAACTTCTATTTGGAACTTACCAATTTTATTCCTTATTAATTAAGCCAATAGAAAAGTTGCAGTTTTACAAAAAAAATCACATAAACTTAAGTACCTAACTCAAATAAGAATTGGTAATCCATAACTAGTTGATAATTTAGTCAAAGAAAATTTAATAAATCACTTAATTTCAATCAAAGTTTATAAATTAAAGGTATAATTAAAATAGATAATCGATTTTTTTTTTGTCATGTGGTTTGAGGAGCTCGGGGCGGGCCCCTACTGGGCCCACCTAGGGAACCCATAAACCCCCTACCCATAGGAGGGGAGTTTTGAACTCTCCATTCCCATGTGAAAAAGGTGGCCAGTGGAGGGTTGATATGTAATGACCCGGTCCGATGAGGGCGGGGAGTGGTCGCCGGGGCCAGAGGGCCTGGACAAGGAGCGGCTCCTGGCAGGCTTCTAGGATGGTAAGGGGGGGCATGTCTCTTGTCCCACATCGCTTAGGGGGAAGTCCTGGGCTAGTTTATATGGCTTGGGTTCTCTACTATGTGTAACGCGTTTTAAAGCCGTGAGGGTCAGTGGGCCCAAAGCGGACAATATTACACAGTGTAGACCCCGGGTCCTTACAAATGGTATCAGAGCCGACTCTCGACCGCGTGTGGGGCCACAGCGAGGACGCTGTGCTCGAAGGAAGGGAGAATGTAATAACCCGGTCCGATGAGGGCGGGGAGTGGTCGCCGGGGCCAGAGGGCCTGGACAAGGAGCGGCTCCTGGCAGACTTCTAGGATGGCAAGGGGGGCATGTCTCTTGTCCCACATCGCTTTGGGGGGGAGTCCTGGGCTAGTTTATAAGGCTTGGGTTCTCTACTATATGTAACGCGTTTTAAAGCCGTGAGGGTCAGTGGGCCCAAAGCGAACAATATTACACAATGTAGACCCCGGGTCCTTACATGATAGGTAATAAATTTTAGTAAAAGATTAGAAAATTTGGGAATTTGAAAGAAAACTAAAATTGGCAAGTAGCTCGAATGAGAGTTGATAACTTAATTAGAGAAAAATTGGCCAACTTTTAGGTGTGCGGTTCAGAGAAGACGGGAAGTCTACGGTCATCTCCGAGAAGTGTGTTTCCCCAATGACCAGGATCACATTTTCCTCCTTGATCGTCTTCGACTGAATTGACATGACCATTGTCGTGCTCCATTGGTTGTCCTAGAGTGCAATCAAGTCAAGCTTTCTCACAAATTTCTTGGCCCGACGTGTTATCACTCAAAACATGTTTTGCTTAGCTCGAGTTGATCTTGACTAAACTATTCAAGCCCGAGTTCCACGAAAACTCGATTCGAGCAGCTCGACAGTTTATATCTGACAAAAAAAAAAGCTCCTTTTATCGTTTACCAACTTTTGTTTACATTTCTCATCAACTGCTTAATTTACATGAAATTATCAACCGTCATCCGTGTGACTTGCGAACTTTTATTACATTACTAACTAGTTTTGGGTTACCAACTCTCATATGAACATTTATTTCTTTTTATTGCATACCAACTTTTTTTAGAAATTACCAAGTTCGATTAGAGTGATTGCCAATTTTTTTTAATCAAATTACCAACTGATTTTATGTTACTCACCTAGTTAGTTACCAATGTTCACTTGATTTTTTGTTATTAAATTACTGATTTTTGTTAACTCCGACAAAAAAGAACTTTTCTACGTATCTCAATAGTATCTTATATGAAATCACTAACCTTTTCTATAAGAGTTATTAACTTTTTTCTGATTGAGTTACCCACCGTTACTGACTCTCATTTGAGTTGTTATCAATGCTTATTTCATCTTTTTTTTAAGGGAAAATGACATAAACAGTTCCTGAACTTTGGCCCAGTGTGCAATGTGATCCCTGAACTTTTAATGTCGGGCAATGTGGTCCGTAAACTTTAACCCAATGTACAATGTGATCCCTGAGCTTTTAATTTGTTGAATGTCGTCCCTGAACTTTTGGTACATATTCAATTTAGTTCCTGAACAATATAAAAATGTTCAATGTAATCTTCCATTAATTCAAGTTCAATGACTACATTGAATATTTTCATATAGTTCAAGGACTATATTGAACATGTTCCAAAAGTCCAAGGACCATAATGAACAAATCAATGTGAACCAGGACTAATCAAAAGGATTTTATCTCTTTACTAAAAAATCTGCACTGTGCCCGCCTTTTTTGGACTGGCCATCTTCACTCCAACTCTGTCACTGTCTCTTCAAAATTCAGATTTGATCCCCGCAACTATTTGCAAACAATGTGAACCAGGACTAATCAAAAGGATTTTGATGTCGGGCTTTCAGTTTTGAATAGAGATAAAAGAAAAGAAAAGAAATGGATGCTTAGTTCGAACTCTTCATTCAGCGGGGTCCAACCTGTACTTCCTAATGCGAAATGATAGATGAAAAGGTGCTTTTTATGTCTATACAGCTTGGTGCCTTGCTCATGCTTTGACAGATCAGGCTGCACGAATTCCACTCATTCACATTTCAGTTAAACTCGTAGGGTGACTGATCGGCTTCTTGATTAGGTGGTCGAGGACTTTGAGCATGGCTCAAGCACTTTGCGAGCTGCAGCTTGAGCTGCAGCGTAACTCATCTAACTCATCTTGCACGGAAGATAAAGATGGTATTCGCAATATCCCCGACGGCGTGGCTTCACATTTGGCTCCAACAACACCTGCTGCAAAGGAGGCAAAGAGAAAAGGGGGCAGATGTAAGACTCAAACCAATTTAATGACCGAGTTTGCAGACGTTACGCCTGAAGCACAAGTAGCTACAAGCACGAGGATGGAGACCGTCAAATTGGGTATTGGCGTCCATGAGAATGACCAATTGACCTCAGGCTTATCTTCTTCAGATGGCTGTAGCTCACATTGTGACCGCCAATCTCGTCTGGCTTCTGATGAAACTTGTGAGTCTTCTGGGGAAGCTCGCAAGCAAGGTGCATGTCAAGAGCCTATTTCACAAATCGCTATGTAGAAGAATGCTGGTGGGATGTGGTTGGAAACTTTCCTATCCCGAGAGATTGGTTATAGAGCTGGTCGGATTGTAAAGCTTTCTCAGGCTATTGTTGAAGGCAGGATAAACCTGAGTCACCTGGAAGAGATTTGTGATACACGGTGCTTGTCCAGTTATGCTGATCTAACACAGAGGCTGAGGCAAACCGATGGTTTCGGTCCTTTTACATGTGCCAATGTGCTAATGTGCATGGGAGTCTACCATGCCATTCCAACTGATTCGGAAACAATCAGGCATTTGAAGCAGGTATGCTCTGTGGCTTCACTTTTAGTATATTTGCTTATGATCTAAATAAAGATCTGGAACTGTAGGTCCATGGAAAAAATTCTACCATTCAAACTGGTCAAAGTGATGTAGAGGATATCTATGGACAGTATGCTCCATTTCAGTTCCTCGCATACTGGTATGCCATTGCCATGAGAGGCTATGGAATTCTATTCAATGCCCTTTCCTTCTTTGTTAATTCCCACCTTCCACATTGACAAAACGTGATTCTATCTGTTTCCTTGATGAGCAGGGCAGAGTTATGGAACTTTTACGGGGAAAGATTTGGGAATCTAAGTGCAATGCCTTTGTCAAACTATAAGCTGATTACTGCCACCAATATGAAAGAGAAAGGAAGTCGCGGAAAAAAGAGGAAGCTATCCTCATGAAGCATGGGCCCTTTATCTTTGTTCCATTCATGGGACGGAGCGAGCTGTTCTTCATCGGTAGGACTGCGCTCGTAGTTCTTCTCATCCTTCTTAGCTTACAATATGTATTTATAACCTCCATGTCTCGCATTTTACTCTAACGGGTCTATATAATTCCTCACTTCATTCCCTCTACTTTTGCTAGCAAATTCATGTTCTTAACCTATCAAGAAAAATGTCGGGCAGGATAGCCTGGTGATCAGTTTCTTTGAATGTTGAGACTTATGGAGATTGGACTGTCTTGTCTAGATGTTGAGAGGTACTGAGAGATTGACACATTCTTAGCTTCATTGAATTGGCCATGTCTCTTTGCTTATCCCATGGCTTCTTTACCGGCATTGAAATTATCTCTTCTTCTTTCTTTTCTTTCTTGTCGGGATACCTTTGAGCATGCAGTTCAAGGCTCTCTGTATCTATTTGTAATAGCTTGTTTATGCAGATCTTCATGCAACCCTAGGATAGCATACACGGTTCATCTTAGTAGGTGCATGTAATACACTTGTGCATCTAAATTATCTGTCAAAGACGAGATATCTGCAGTGCGAGCATTTGTGCTACCACTGAAAGCACAAATTGCTTGTTCGCTCCACTAGATCCTTCCTTTCGGCGTCTGTGATAATTCTCATTTTGAATGAAAATAAGAAGTTGGATATTTCAGGTGCTATGAGAGAGTATCATTATAATGCAATTATGTGGAAGCAGCTAAAGTGATTGAAAGATCATTTTTGCAAAGCGCGAGCTGAACAGCACTTTGTCTGGAGTTCTGGGCATCAAGAAGATGCTCATGGTGATGTTTAGCTTACGAAAGAAGATAAGTCACCCATAAAACGATGCATGAAATCTATCATTATAATGCATTAGGATATGATGGTTGGACAAGTTGTAGGGTGAGGAAATTCCACAGATGATGTAATGGGTTGCTGCTGATGGACCAGCGGAATCTGTATGGAATTAACACATTACCTAATTCGATATAAATAGTAGGACGGTCCGTACCAAAACTTGGCCCAATAGTTCTCAATCGAATTCTTAATCTTAATGGCAAAATTACAAGAAAAAAGTTTTAAACCTATTTTAGGATGTTAATTCAGTGATAAGCCTTTTAGTGACTTCGTCACATCCAGGGGCCTGCTCTCGATGCACGTGACCATCGCGCAGAGGCTGCCCTTCTTCTAGAACATGCTGGACAGTGGACATATAGTGCACTCGATGCACGTCCTGAGCAACTGGATCCCGGAGACGAAGCTGGAGTTCACTCTGTACGACATATACCGGGTGCTGAGGCTAGGTGGGCTGTTCTGGCTCGACCACTTCTTCCGCCTGGGGCCGCAGCTGAATGGGACATACATGCTGATGATCGATCGGATCGGGTTCAAGAAGGTGAGGTGGAATGCCGGGAGGAAGCTCGACCGTGGAGGGAATGAGTTGTACTTCTCTGCCCTCCTGGAAAAGCCCAGGACTCAGATCTTTTGATCCGCACCACTCAAAACACAAGCAAACAAATCTTCTCTCTTTTTTCGTTTCCATAATTTCAAATTGATTTCTTGTTCATGTTTACAATAATATCATGCCACAAGGCACTCTGCGTTTATGTCCCCACGTTAAACAAGATTAACAGGACCAATTCCATGTAATGCAGAAACAAGAATGTAGCTGAGAGTTTGATTCCATTTCTTGTTACTTGGTGTAGCATCATATCTCGAGTGGTACTCTATTATTCCAGCAAAAAACTAAACAATTGTATTATGACAGAATATATTAGCCAACTGAGCTTGCGCACATAGTTCCGAGGAGTTTCTCCACTACAGTTCACTCGCTGTTTGTGTCCGAAATAGTTGAAACTGTAATATTTGGATATTATAAAAAAAAAAAAAGAGGTCAAAAAGTCAAAAAGCAGAACAGTGGGAGCTTCAGCTCATTTAAGCCGAGAGCATGCTCGGCCGAGAAAGGGAGAAAGGAAAAGAAAGAAAGAGGGAAGGTTTTGCGCCGCGGGACCTTGCCAAACCGATTCGACTTTGTATCGCAACGTCCGGTAAGCATTCGTGCCTCTTGTTCATCCGATCGGAGAAGTTTTCAGATTTAAGGTTTAAATTCAGAATTTTGAAAAATTCAAGCCGCGAAATTCGATTTTTAAGTCGTTGAGTTGCATATATATATAGAATTGGTAGTTTAAGGTGTCGTGGAGCTGTGGGATTTTACGGATCTTGATTTGGACTTACCGTTTGCCCGAAACGAATTTTTGAAATTTTCCGCGTGAGGTGAACAGTACACGTCCGGCAACCTTCTGGCCGTATTTCGTTGATTTTCAGCTCGATTTTGGGACAGCCAGGCTGGGGCTTTTGTAATACTCTGAACGGGCTTTCTTTTGACTATAAGTTTGCTAGGATCGGAGTTCGATGGAAAAAGTTATGACACAATCAAATTTCGCATCGCGAATAATTTTGAAAATCGCTTCAATTGTGAGTTTTATTAGCGCATAAGAGTCTTTTCGTTAGCTTTTAAGCTTACTATAGCCGTTTCGTAGTTATCGTAGTATTTTACTTAATGTTGACGTCGATTCTCGTTTAATTGATAGGATTACGAGATTATTGGCGAGTTTAGCCACGTTATTTGATTATGGGGCATTCCCAGGTGAGTGGTGCTATCTCTTTTATGAATTTCTAAACTCATGTCTTGAAAGTGAAAGAAGCTCTATATATAATGAACTGTGAAAGAACATATTTGTTACATAAAAGTATAGATCGGACATTTACTAGATTTTGGTATTTGTAAATAGTTTAAGATATGTTTTGGGAATGGTGTTGCGAAACGAGGTATATATATTGATTTGAAATGGGTATGTTAAATGTATTATGGTTTGAGAAATGAGTTCTCAAATGATTTTAGAAATACTTTACAAAAAGAATTTCTGGTGATTGAGTTGAGTCGTGAAATGTCATATACTTGGTTTGTGAAATTGGTTTATGAATGATTTGAGAAATGGTTCGAGAAATAGTGGATGATCTATGTTGTGAAAAGTTAATTGTTTGGTTTATGAAATTGTATTCTAGATTGGATTTCTGATATTTGATGATGGTTATTTGATGCTCAATATGACTGTGAACTCATTGAGGGATTTGAGTGTATGCATACCGGTTTAGGATATCCTTCTGGACCCAGCCACCGGCTTTATAGGTGGAGACCTTGCCAAGGGGGAAATCTTGATAGCCTTGTCACAAGACTTTGTGTCATGATCTTAGTTAGATATTGAGCAATAAATTGGTCGATGGAATGGACCATCGACATGTAATGTGATATGAGATTCATCAATGGAATAGACCATTGATGTGTGATTTGATATTAGTCAATGGAATGGACCATTGACATGATTTTTAATAGAGATTGATTAATGGACTTGACCATGGATGTTTATGATGATTTAAATGAGTATTTTCTGAATGGTATAAAATCTTGTTGAAATGAAACAACTCTTATGTGATTCTATATGTATTTGATATCTTGAGTTTGGCTCCTGAAATTTTGGCATGGCTTTATGTATATATGCATACTGACCGCTTAAAGAGATACGCATCGCATCGAATCATTGCTCACCCCTCTCTTTCTCCAATCTTTTCAGGTTTTTTAGTTGGTAGCCAATAGAGCGAGAGTGATGTCGTGGGGATTTTTGGGTGGTTTGAGGCTGCATCCTTCGGGTGGAAGGATAGCCGTGTCATCCCCCATCCTAGTCGGTTTCAGGATGTGACAGAAACAGAGTGTTTGCCAAACAAAAGAGAGAGAAAATAGAAACAGAGTACAATCGGAATGCAAAGCTAGATCTGCACAAAGTCTGATGCCACAAAAAAAGAAAATAAGAAAAGGAGAGATCCTTTTCATGACTTGATACTGTATGCATCTGAAGTCAAGATTTCCTAATTATTGTTCACGAGCACCAAAGTCACGCAAGGTCAAATTAAAGTGGATCTAAATTTAAGCAATCTCCCCGGCCTAGGAAGGCCAAGATCTAGCTTCGAGTCAACTTTCCCGAACCTCACATCAATTTATTATGATAGACAAACAACGCTGTAACAATTAGATTTTGGGAGGGTTGCATTGTAAATACAATTCTTTGGAAAGATTTTTATGTTATATTAGATTGAGTCGATCACAAATCTAGAAACGGTGAATTCTCGCATCGACCGCGCCGAATGACACATATTCCAATATGTTTCCTATACTGTGATTGATCAGATGCTCCCAATCACTTAACAAACAAGTCTATACAATATCTTCTCCGCGAGAATACAAGACTGGCTGTACAGGTGGAAGAT